GCCTCTCCGCGGGCCTGGGGCACGAGCAGACTCCGCTGCCCGCGGCCCAGGCCCAGGTCCAGGCCACCGGCCCGGAGGGAGGCAAGGGCCGTGCAGCGGCTGACGCCCTCAACCGGCAAATCCGCGAGGAGGTGGCGAGTGCGGTGAGCAGCTCGTACAGGTGAGGCGTGGGCCTGGTCACCCTACCCTGCCCGCGGACTGCAGGGGTTCATTCTCCCCAGCCTGGGCTCTGGCCCAGACCACACCCTCTCCCCAGCGGAATCCAGGCACCCCTCGCCCACCACAGACTTTTCTGTCCCGGGCCGCTGTGCAAGCTGTTACCCTGCCAGCCTACCCAACTCTTAGACTTTGCCACCTTCCCCACTGCCGCCCCGCCTCGGATCCCTGCTGCCCAGCCCAGACCTGCTGCAGCTCTTCATGTGCTGGGCCTCCCTCCTGCCCCACCCGCCTCAACTGCGGCCCCTTGCTGGCTCGGCTGCTCCCCACCTGCCTTGGTGCCTTCCTGCAGTGTCCCCATCTTTCTAGAGCGAGAAATCGTTCCAAGTGACTTTCCCCCTCCTCCCAGCCCAGTTCCCTTGGCCTTTCATTCTCGCCCTCTCTCATTCCCGGGAGTCACCCAGACGCCACACCCTTTTCTAGAGTCCCCGCAGGATCCTGACTGATCACCCACTCCTACCACTGGGGCTTTGAAGTCATTTTCCTTCTACCTCTTATTAGCTGTGACATAGTAGACAAGTTTATTCACTTTTCTGGGCTTCAGGTTTTTCTCTGTAAGATGTCATTGATAATAGATACCTCTTAGGTTTGTTATGTTATGAATTTAACATTAAATATTTGATAGGTTTTTGAATCCCTACTGTATGCCAAGTACAATGCTAGACACTATGAGGATTAAATGAGATGTTCTAGGACAGTTTGTACCAGACACAGTGGTAGTTGGTCCGTCTGGGTTCCATTCCTTCCTTCCACCTGATGCCTTGCTATTTTGATTTCCTCTTAGAAAATGGCCTAGATGCCTCCAATCTGCTGTCTCCATTCCCCTCATGTTTTCCAGATGTGTATCTTTCATTCTCTTAGCACATTCAGATTCCTTTTGAATGAAGGCCTTCAAACACGGAATCATCTCCTTTGTCTCTCTCTCTCTCTGGCCTTCTGTCTCTCCTTCTAGAATTTTCCCTGTGCTATAGCCTCAGACCTTCCAGTCTGCTTTCCCACCCTTCGTCTACTCCGTGTATGTATATTCCTAAATGCTTTGTTTCTATCCTGCCCTTATGTTTCAACCAGCATCAATTAGCTAATGGATCACAGATGACTGGGAACATCTGGCATTGGGTTTGGGGGTCTCTGCAGAAGCAGATGTGCATGGTGAGCAGTTGAGCTAGAACTGTTCAAAATGTGGCTTATGGGGTCCTTCATCAATGCCACAGCCAGTTAGTTGCATCCTTCCTGCAAAAGGGTGTGGTGGAACTGGGAGCTAGCTTCCTTTGCCAAGACCCACTGTGTGGCCTCCCTGCGGACTGATGTCCTTCTCCAGTGAACATGACAAACACTTCCCCGAGTGTTGAGAAATGACTAGTGTAGGCAGACACTCCCCTCCTGATAAAACACAATCTGCCCCCTCCTCCAGAATTTTCCATCTTCCAGAACTGTACTGCCCACTTGGTATTGCCGATGGTTTATTGCTACCACAATAATGTGGGCCCCTCGGAAAATACCAGTTATACATGAGGAGATACCATTTTCACAATATGAGTATTTTATGCTATTACCACGGTAAAGTCAAGAAATAAAAATTTTAAAAGGAAGGAAGCAAACAAGCTAGAGGCATTAAAACAATGCCAAGACACAGTTTTCTGGTTCTGCCATGTCTTTCTTATTCGTTTCCTCGTTCTTCGTGTCCTGAGAACCCTAAGGCTGGCCCAGCATCACAGATTGCTGGCCTGGTCTCTGCATTTTCCTACTACCATTCTAGTCCCCTGTGATAGACTGTACCGCTACCACAATAATGTGGGCCCCTCGGAAAATACCAGTTATACATGAGGAGATACCATTTTCACAATATGAGTATTTTATGCTATTACCACGGTAAAGTCAAGAAATAAAAATTTTAAAAGGAAGGAAGCAAACAAGCTAGAGGCATTAAAACAATGCCAAGACACAGTTTTCTGGTTCTGCCATGTCTTTCTTATTCGTTTCCTCGTTCTTCGTGTCCTGAGAACCCTAAGGCTGGCCCAGCATCACAGATTGCTGGCCTGGTCTCTGCATTTTCCTACTACCATTCTAGTCCCCTGTGATAGACAGAACCTGATCACCCCCCCCCCACACACACACACACACACAAGGCAGGAGGCACATATTTTCCTCACCTCTGTGTAGACAGTGCCAGTCAAGAGAGCACTTAGATTCTCAAACCTCCTTGCACGATCCTCCTCCATATTTCCCAGTTGGCAGGCCATGCTTTGTTCATGAGCAATTGGCTGGATAGTCAGGGAATAACCACACCCTTCAGATGCAACTCATTTTAGTTGCCGGTTTGTACCTTTGTTCCATGTTGCCAGTTCCCCTGAAACAACACCTTAGCTATGCAGCACGCTTGTCATGCCTCCCCGTTCAAATTGCACACATACTGGAAATGATTGGATTGAGTGGGGGAAAGCTATGGTCACCGAGCTGGTGAGAATAATTATTTTTAGCAGCTATCAGGATTCTATCAACCCGTCAAGAAAAATCTTTGAACATCTCTAAATTTTTTTTAATCCAGGTCTTCTGTAAAATTTAATTATACATATGACTATGGGGCCCCGCAGTGCTGTATAATCAGAAAGGGTTCTGAAACCTTAAGAGGAGTGTTGCTAAGATACATCAATTTCTTTAAGGGATCATTTAAATGCATGACAAATTTGATGTGAAATTTAACATTTTTTTTTGTTCCAGAAGAAAAATTAACCAATGATTGGAAAATGAACTTTGGTGAAATAGATAGAAAGAAAAAAAAATATTCAATAGATTAACATACCATAAAGGAAAAAGGTTTGGAAATTACAGGCTTATCTGGAACATTGATTTTCCTTCTCTATTGTTTTCCATTCTTTTCTTTGCTGTGTTTCAGGATATTTCCTGAATTAACTACATCCTATGTATTCTTTGCTGGGTCTTACATCCCCTTAGAAGCCAACTTGGGCTCCATTTCAATGATAATTTGATTTAAAATCCTTTTCTTCTGCCAATCTGCATAAATTATGGTGTGTTTACACCATGGTGACTGGTCTCATGGGCTTTACAAGAGACATCTGTCACATGACATCAATGTGAGCAGTTCGCTTGGACAGAGAAAGGACACATCATCCATCAGCTTCATGTATGGGTATATAATGTATGTAAAATATACACTCAACATTCAGAGTCATATGCATGCTAATTGACTTTCTCTGACAATATGCTGTCTTAAATAACATTAACACCCTTCCATACTATGGTTTCAAGAAACACTCCTTATTCAACACTGCATCTACTTCATACCCCATTCATACTAGCCTAGGATTCTTGCATTCAAGTGGTATCTGAGATATCTTTAGAACTATTTACAATCATGACATTGATTAATTTTTAATACATTCATTTCATGTAGATGATATAAAATTGAGAAGCAGGTCTTTGTTACCGTTTTTAAATGTGAAGATAGATTTCACTGGGAGGCCATTTGTGACTTTAAACCTGGCATTCTCAATTCGAAAGCAGATGAGTCATAAGGAGGGGATTAAAATTCCCCTCCCAGTCAACACCATTGCCCTGACCTTCAGTTAATAGGAATAGATATGGTAGCAGGTGCTCCCTATAGAAATGGTAATGAGATACTTTTCCTAGAAGAAATCCACGGAGGTACCAGGAGGTAGAATTAATAAAGCAGAGGCAAAATACAAGAAAAATGAGAGCAGTAGCAAGGAAGTCAGAAGGAAAAGGAGCCTTTAGTGCCTGCCCCACTGCCTTGCAGGAAGCGTAGAGAAAGGCATCTCTGAGTGAGCTGTTGTGCACAACTTCCCTGTGGGTAGTTCCCAGCCATATCTTAAGGCCAGTGTTAGATACCGAATCTTCAGTGATGCCGTTCCCGGGGCCTGCCATTCAGAATTAATTTTTCCTTTATTTCCTTTTTACTTTCTAAAGCCTTATCACTGCTTGCTTAATTATAAAGTGCTTTTATCCATATCTGCCTTTTCTATCAGATCACAAAGGCTCACAGAGAATGGCTATATTTCGTTCATTTCTGCATCTTTCACAGCCTAACATTGTGCCTAGGTACCATTTCCTGAGCATTTGCATTTTTTAAAGCTACCTCAGGTGATTCTGAGGCCCAGCTCAGGTTATGACCTACTCCTATCAATATAAGGAAAAGTTCTCACAGTTTAGTACACAGAAGAATCACCCAGAGAGCTTTCCAAAATGCAGATTTCTGGGTCATATCCTCAGACAGGCTGCATTCAGTAGGTTTAAAATGGAACCCAAGAATCTATTTTTTAACAGGCACTCCAGATCATTTTAATGAAGGTTAAACTTCAGTTTTACTTGGGAAAAATAACTTTGAGAGATTGCTGTCTTTAAGGTACTGAATTTTCCCACACAGATGTGATACACCCTGCTGTTCATTTAAGCCTTTAGTGTTTTTCACGTATATCTTGTCATTTTCTCCATTAAAAAATCATACATATATTTTAAATCACATGTATATTTAATCATGTCTATAATCATATATATAATTTCAGCATTTTACTCTCCATATTTAAGTATTTACTAATCTACACTTTATTTTTTGTGTAGAATAAGGTAAGAGTTGAATCCCTCTCCCTAATATGGAAACTCCTTTATCCCAATGCCCTTTATAAGTCTACATTTTCCTCACTAATTTATGATATTTCCTCTATCACATAAGGGTCACACATCCTTGGATATTATTTCTGGACTCTTTATTTCATTAGTCCAAACTACTGTCACACTTTTTCTAAGCTATCTTTTCATTAATGTTCCTAGTGTTAAGAGTTTATTATATTTTCCAGTTTAATATTGCTCATATACATTAATTTTTGGATGTTAATCTCGTATTCAGGAACCTTACTACACTTTCTAATTTATTTTGTCTGTAGACTCTCTTGGATTATCTGTGGCAAT